GCCTCTCGCGGCCCTCATCCCAGACCTAGTCTTGTAGTTGTCCTCGGCTTAGAAGGGCCTAAGTCTAAGGTTTAGGGTTTTGGTCCTCGTTTCCTTGTAGGTGATCGGTGATCATGTGATTCCAGGACCTATGCAAGGATTCGCGGAAGGGCGGTGCGGCTCTTGCTTTGCGTTGGTACAGTTCACGTGGAAGGCCACTTAGGGTTCAGTTTTGAAGGAGGCCGTGTCAACGGCCGATTGAGCTTTCCTTTGGTTTGGGACTTCGTGTAAGTGGTCGGGTCCCTTGGCGACACAAGGCCCAAGAGTCTCCCTCAGGTGGGAGACTGGCTCCCGGCAATCATGCTACCATGTTTGTAACTGGTCGCAAACCCTATAATACATCGAAGAGCTTCGGCATTGGGATGTTGGGAAGCGCAAGCTTCTTCACGAAGATGTCTTGGGGGCTGTAGGTCTTCAAAACAGGAGGCACCTTACTACCATTTAGGGTCGAAGTCAAGGCTCACAAACCATGTCAGGCTCAGGCATCACTTTCGCCAGATTGTCAAGGCTTGCCACTGTCGCAGTTGAGCGCTCTGCGCTGGCCCCGCAACCCATGGCCACAGGAGGGAGCACTCAAACCCTCCCCCTGTGTTACCCTTGAGCATAAGGAGGCAGAGAACAAAGGGCATCTGCCTTCACTAGCATCGAACCACCTCGTTTCCACCCCAAGCCCACGCCCTCGATCCCAAACCCACAACCCTTCGAACCACAAGACAGCCGAAGAGGTTCAACCCTGCGTTCCCCATCACCGTTACCCCACAGGATTTAGCGTCAAGCCGGGCGATAGTGGAAACATCCCTGTCGGTTGTCATTGCAGACATATTAGTAGTCATGGTCGTCACTCGCACAGCAATCACCTTTAGCAGACACGAACTTCATCCCCTTGGCCATCGTTGGTATCACATCGATTGTCCATTCATTGTCATCTCAGTGTTGTCACCGTGTTCTCTTCATCATCAGTCTCACTCCAATCATCGCAACATCATAATCAATCACAGTGCATTAACATCACTACCATCATCATGGTCAGCATCAATTTAGCGAGTGTTTCTCTGCTCACAATGCTCCTGGTTGCCGTAACCATACATGAAAAGCATGGCAATCATCATGATCATAATGTTGATTTTTTCTCAACACAGCCGTCACCACCACACCGACATCATCGTCATCATCGTCAATGTTGGCGGAACTTCTGATATTTTCACTACTTTATGACGACCTGTTCTGACCAGTCTCTGCGTTGGCCCCACTGAAGATAGATTTCTAGGAAACGTCGATGCCTCCCGAGCGCCGCCAGAAGGAACCATGAAGCAGATCAGCCTCTCAGCACCACTCGCAGTACTACCAGCACGAGCACGACTAGGACAACTGAGGGCTGTCGTCGACCAGAGGCAGTGGTCGTCGTAGAAGTAACGGGTCACATCCGACAAAGACAAGAAGTTTCCGCGGGTTCCCGGCCGGTTCGCAGTCTGAGTTTAGTTCAACGAGAAGACCTGACGAAGTGAGGGTTTAAGCATATGCGCCTTGGACCAGTACCGCGAAATCCCTGCTCGCCCACTGCACAGTCCTAAACATCAAAGATCAACAACACTCTGCAACCCCCGGTCTCTGAACAAACTGCTGGTGTAGCTTGATACTCAGCCTCTGGAAGCGTACAAAACCTGTTGTTCGACGCCAGGTTCCTTGTTATATAAGGTTGAAGATTCAGACAGCAAGCTCCTGCGAAACAGGCACCTTCAGGTGTTAAGACAGCCTTACCTTCGCCAACTTAGATGCCTTTGCCGCGACGGGATCTAGCGGGTTAAGGTCTCGGCATAGGGCTTGAGGCCTCAAAGCAGCGATATGGGTAGTTCTCTGAATTAGGGTCTCCTTTACGTCCCCAGAACTATACGGAACCCTTCCAAAATTCCAATAAAGACTACAAGAGGCACGAATTTAGAGAACTACCCCTGTAGGAACAACTTCTCTACATCTTACCATCTGCCAAGGGCCGGATGTGAAGCTCACACCCTTGACCTAAATAGAGTATAGGGTTCAGGTTTACGGTATTTCAGGGGTTCAGGTATAGGGGTCAAGGCTTGGTGTCTAGGCTTTAGGATTTTGGGGCCGTACACCACTTTCGCGCAATCACAAGGCTTTTTCAGGTGGGATTTGCTGAGTGCCCCACAGCACCAGCAGCAAAGCCACGTCTGCTGCAGGGCGGCTGAAGCGCCCTGAGACATGACTGGCAGCGAAACCACCACCACCACCACCACAACAACAACAACAACACAATCAGCAGCAGCAGCAGCAGCAGCAGCAGCAGCAGGAAGCACATTGGAGCTGTAAATTCTTAAACAGGAACCTAAACCCTCGACCAATGCCCAAAGCCGGAAGCACCTAGATCCGAAAACCTATCCATCATCCGCACTGGGCCCAGGCCTGCAGGCCGCACCCACCACCCCTTTTTTTCGAGTCAAACACTGGGTCGCGCCATTTGGAGGTGGTCGAATTCAACTTGAGCTACGCCATTTGGCCATCGAAGTGGTGCGCACATTTTTAACAGGGAGCACCCCCAATAACCATTTTCCGACACCCTACATATCCCGAAGGAGCCTTACTTAGAACTTGTAGCGAAAAAAGGCTAGCCAGACCTGAAGCCTTGAAGGGGGCTTACAGTTTGATACAGTTTGCGCCATCGTTGAGATGCCGCGCCTCACACCGCTGGGTGTGCAGGGGTGGCATCAGAGATCGCAATTATTGCATGGCGGCGAGACCAAACCTTAAACCCTGAACCCTAAACTCTAAACCCCACAGCCCTTGTAGCAACTCTCGTACCAACCCTTGTAAGAGCCACCCTGATACTAATCCTCATAGCTCCAACCCTGCTACTAACCCACTATAGCACCAACCCCAAACCCTAAACCCTCAACTCCGAGCCATCGGAGGCTCCGAGCACTGACGAGCCGGAAGCCACGAAGCGCCGAGCAGTCTCGGCAGCCACCTCAGCTCGAGGAGGTTTCTGTTGGAGGCATTTCTATAGGGGCTTTAGGGGTTTAGGGTTTAGGGGGTTTGGGGTTTACATGATTTGAATAGGGCTTTCTAGAGTTAAGGAATAAGGCTCTATGTGTTGATTTGCATGGGGCTTCAGAGGCTTGACCAAGGGTCCTATTTTTGCTCCAGCTCTGCTCCATATGGGGTTCAGGATTCTAGGAATTAGGGTTTAGTGATTGTGGTTTTTGGGCATAGGCATGCAGGAGTCAAGTTTAGGGTTCAGAGGAGCTCGGAAGAAAAGGTAGGAGTCCAGAAGTAGGCTCCCCATCCTACGAGCATTGCTTTGAAGGTCAAGATTGCGACCGTTTCGTAGACAAACCTCCCAAGTAGCGCTCTGAAGGCTTCAACGCTGTATTCGGGTTTAGGGTTCAGGGCTTTTGGGTTCAGGGCTTTTGGGTTCAGGGTTTTTGGGTTCAGGGTTTTTGGGTCTTTGGGTTTATAAGGCTCAGGATCCAAGGTTCGGGGTTGTCGCGTTCTCGGGCTTTTGGGTTTAGGGTTCAGGGTGTTTGGGTTTAGGACTTAGAGTTCAGGGTTCTTGGGTTTAGGGTTTATGGGTTTAGGGGTTTTGGGTTCAGGGTTAAGAAGGTCAGACTGTGTTGTGACGGACGGTCCACCTCCCTCAAGTTTGAGCTTTAAGGTGTCAAGCGTATGACTCTTTAGATACTACAGCTAGAAGATCCGCGGAAATCGGTGGAAGGGGGGTTCCGGAGTACAGTATACTACAGCAGAAGACAGCCGTTTGGAAGGGCAAAAGTACCGTCGCTTGGCAGCAAGCAAACAACAAAAAACCGAGGTAAGCCCCAACCACGTGCCAAGACCTCCAGAAACCCAAAGCCATCGAGCAAAACCATACTCTCAACTGTAACAGCCATGATAAGAGAAAAGCCCTAAACTCGAAAAAAAAACTCAAAACCCTTCAACCCCTAATAGCCCAACCCCCAAGCAAACATCTAAACCACGATCAAACTCACCCCTTTCTCTATCGCCCCTCTCCAACCGTTGACTGGGACCCTAGCGCCGCAGCCCCGAACGGTTTAGGGTTTAGGGTTTAGGGCACCCTAAACCCAATAAAAACCCTAGGAAACCCAACTAAACAGAATCGAGGGGCAGGTCAATGAGCAGGCTCTTGGCTACTCAGAATGGTGCGCTGATCCGAAACGGCCGCAGTTGGAAACAGCTCGAACTTGGGATTGGCTGCGGCTGAGGGTTCAGGGCTTCTGGTTGCCTTGTATGCCTACCTTCCAGTCTTGAACCCCGAAGCCTAAGCCAAAAAAATCCTAGTCTAAGCCCCAGTCCCAGCAAAGTTCAAGTTCACCATGGTGTTAAAAGTCTGAGCCCCAGACCTTAAACACCACAGTGGACTTGGACCTTTCTTGGAGGAGACAACCCTCACATCAGGAACTTTAGGGTTCAGGGTTTAGGGCTTAGGTTTGCAGAGGTATCTGAGCTGTAAACCCGTTAAATACCCCCTTAAACCATGGACTTCGTACCTGGAAGGAACACACCTGTGCCCCACACTACTAACGATGATGGAGGGCTAAAAGCATTTGAAGGCGATCTCGGACAACTGGAGGCTGCGAAGACTCTGGGCGTCGAGGGTTGTGAAGTTTGGGGTTTAGGGCTTAGGGGTTTTTGGGTCAGGGCTTGAGGGCTTTCGGGTGTTTCGTTTAGGGTTTAGGGCCTAGGGCTGTAAGAGTAAAGATAGTGCAGTCAGCGCTTCTTTTGAACTCATCGGCAGAGCTAGCTGGCGCTTCGTAGGGAAGGGGGGATGGGTTCTCGGGACTAATTAGTCTCGAAGATTATAGAGGTTCTAGGGTTGAGGGTTTAGGGTTCTAGGGATTATAGGAACTATATAGGGGCTACGACAAAGATCCATCCCGTCATTCCTTATCAGGCCACCAGGGAAAAGACGCTGGGGGTCCAGTCCTTCAGCTCCTCTTAGAAGGCTTCTTCAAGACCCTCTTCGCCGCTGCCTTGGGCGCAGCACCTCCACGACCTGCCTTCAAGGGCACAGCACCCTAAACTCTAAACCCTAAGCCCTAGACCCTAAACCCTCAACCCACGACCTGCCTTCGGCACAGCGGCCGTCGCTGCTTCCCTCTTCACCATCACAGCGGCCACAAGGCCTCCATGGGAATCTTTCGTCCAAGTCTCCTGAGCCAGGGTTTAGGGTTTAGGGTTTAGGGTTCAGGGTTTAAGGTTTAGGGTTTAGGGCTTTTGGCTTAGGGCTTACCTGGACCCCAAAAGTATGTAGAATAATAGCCTTTTATGGGTTTTGGGCCATTATAGTAGGTAAAATAATGGCCCAAAACCTCTAAACGGCAATTATTCGACATACATTTGGGGTTCAGGTAGGGCTTAGAAGTCTCCTCACCCGGCACCAGGAGGTGAAAGGTGGGATAGCCGTCGTGGTAGCCCCTATGCCGGAAGTAGCCTTTGGAGTCTTTCCTGGCTTTGCCTTAACTGTCCCGGGGACGCAGGTCGAAAATTTCTATTTCAGCTGCTTCTTAGGATTCTTAATAGCAAAAATCAAAATCTGTTCTAGGAATGGCTAAGTTGCAGGCTGTCTGGGCTTCACACTCATAAGCCCAGCCATGAGGGCTACCGTTTTTGGCGTCTCTGATGGTTCCCTCTACCTTAGATGGTGCAGAACTAGATAGAACTGGGCTTATAACCCGAGGAGGATAACCTATATAGTACCATTTGAGGGAACTGCAAGAAGAGTTATAAGCCAAGTTATGCACATGAGTGGTTACTAGGTCCCACGAGCCTCCAAATAACACACGTGGGACGCACTCGCGGCTGCTTGGTTCATCTAAGCCCCCGGCAAAGTCATTGGAGTATTTCGGTTTCAAGAACGCAGGGCACACCTTGGCTTTGCCGCAATGTTTATACCCTTTTTTGAGCTTCTCCTTCACTTTGCTGTCCACAAATCTTGTTGCCGCCTCAAGCCTAGGCTCTTCAGTAACCTCTTGAAAAGAAGTATATACTTTTTTCAGGTTAGCTGTAATCTACTAGGAAAGCAGGAACCCAAAAGTTCGCCTCGGCCCCGGCCGAAGCGGTCAGAGGTTCCTATGCGGATTCCCTCTATCCTCCCCCCCCTCCCCCTCCCCCTGAGAT